TCGAAACTTCCCTTGAACTGAATTAATTTTGGGAATTAACTCTACGACTTAATCCGATTAACTGCATTTAATTCGCGAGATAATTCCAAAATAACGAGTTGATCCGGATCAACGCTGTCATTTATCTATGTTTTTCGCCAGCAGCAATTAGACGCTCTCAAGCTAGTAGTATCTATAGCTGGCTGAATTTATTATACAGGGTAACTCAGTAAAAGCATTTCTTTATCTACATAAAACGAAGCTAGACCCCTTACTGCGTTTGCTTTTGATTTTTCTTTACTTCTATCTTTATTTGCGTTTATTTAGGATTTTTTTGGAACTTGGCCTTTCCATAAAAGGTTGAATACCTTAACTAAATCTTATTTTTGAGTAGAAAAGCCACTTATGTGCCAAGTGTGGAGAAACTTTCGCGCTCACTGCTTCTATGTATTTCTCAAGTACTCGGGCGCATGTGCATGTATGTAAGGGTGGTACAAAAAAGTTTAAAATTTTAAGCTCTCACCGCGAAGGGTTTTCCGCAAGGCAACAAAGAATACCAGCATTTTTCTGTTAAAAAAAAATATATATTTAGAACTGCCTCAAAGCCCATGAAGTTTTCCATAGATTTATATGGGGAAAAACACTTTTTCGTAGAAATGATATATAATTCTTGAAAATTAATATTTTTCAACCGGACAGCTCTGTTTCTCTTCAGGAGACTCCAGTAATAATACCCTTTTGTTTATTTTACCATTTTTTCATACTAGCGTTTTTTTGTGGGTCCACCTTATTGCATTTTTTGCGGTTTATGGAGGGCTTATAAAACATAATTGTTATTAGAAAATGGTTAAATAATCAATTAGGTATTTTTATTGGAAGACTCCTAAAGAAGAAGAAACAATTTTCCGATCGAAATATATCTATTTTCAANACTTTGAGGCAGTTCTAAATTTAATTTTTTTAAACAAAAAATACGGGTAATCTTTTTTTCAATTTAGAAAAATCCTAGGGGGTTAAAGCTTAAAATTTTAAACTTTTTTCTCCCGCATACATTTGTGGACCACCCTAATGTCGTACATATATACATACAAACAAACATAAGTTCCTGTCAGTTTTCAAATTTGTTGTCAAAGAAGCCGCTTTTGTTTACGTATGACTTCTGAGAGAGTACTACTACACATTTTGCCGCACAACAACAAAAAGCACAAGATAAACAACCCCAGAGAATGTTGAAAATAACTCAGATCAGCTGTTCTTTTGAGAAATCGACTCTTGGGGTGTGATTATTGATTTTGCTGCAAGTTGCATATTAAAAGCTCACCACAGCCAAAAAAAGAGGACAAAGAAAGGTAAGAGAAACACATCCCTCGAAATGGTTTCAGTGTTCGCGTTTCACTTGCCCGTAGCGGAGGTCTGTGCCATGAAGTGTACCGTTGGAGGCTAACAGATAAATATGTACAACAATGTCCAATATTTTCCAATCAAAATCATGAATATTTAATTATTTGACCAAGTAGCCAGCATATGTAGTGCATAAGTGTTACAGACTTGTGAAGTTTGTAAGATTTTAAAGTAAAAAGTGTTTAGTGTTTTGAATTCGAATACTTGGCCTTGCTGCAGTGAATTTCTTTTTTTTTTTTCTTCGGCTGAAGCCTTTGAAAAATCTACATACTTATCATCATTAAAATGGATATACCATTGTCGATGTTGTTGTTGCTCTGCCTGGTATTTACCATTATAGGAGCGGCTCTGATACTTTTGCTGCAATATTACCTTTATTTACGATTTTCCATACTTCCTGAGGAGAGTGCCGAACAAAAGGATATCAACACAAAGTATTCATTGCCTGCGGTAAGTAGCGTAAAGTAAATGATGAAGAAACAAAAAATTCACACATTTCCTGTTCGAATGACAAAGGATATTTATACATGTGTGTTTGTGTGTGTGTGTGTGCTTCTTATACATATGTACATTTTCATTGTTACAACTCGCAGACAATTCAGCAGACAGCACGTGCCATAAATCTATTGCCACCTACCGCAACGCCAGCCGGACACACACATACGGGTACACTTGGTGCGACAGATGCAGCGCCTTTAATGTCAATTAATTTTGTGATGCAATTCCTGTTTCATGAATTGAAAAATTCCAGTCGCGTGCGCAAGTGGTTCTATCGTAAGCTATCGCTGGAACTCGATGAGCTGTTGGCGAAAACAACGACTGGCAAATTATTCGATAAGCTGACGGTGAGTTGGCAAATGTCAAATCTGTTCATACATATGGACATATATGTATATACATATATGTTAAAATGGGATAGTAACTAAAAGTTTTAAATTTGTGCATACATACATTAGATTGTATCGGTCAACACGCGAATGAACAATTTTTTCATTATACCCCGCCTAGTTTAAAGTCGTTATATTCGGCATAACAAATCGAAAGCCTCTAAGATAAATCAAAGTGGTGAAAATGCTTTTCTACCTCAAAAATTGTATTTTTACAAATCATTTATTTTTACATTTTATATAGCGACCCATTCTAATGTGCGACCAAATTTACGCCACGTCTACTCTTTTTCTTAAGATGCGAAGTTTCGCTGGTTGTAAATACCAAATTTTGATAGTTCTTTCTGCACTCGGTCTTTCCGTTATGTCCGTGAATTCCCCAACCAACATCTCGTTAAGCTTCGAATAGCTTTAAAATGTTATTTCCAATTTTATAAGTAGAAGAAAATGTTTAAATTAACGACGTTCTCCATAGTCTTATCAGTTGATAATCGATTCCAAACTAAGGCAAATCAGCTCTTGCGACTCTGTCTTTTGGGAGCCGGTATTCGTGCAACACTTTTATTTCCTGAGCAAGTTTGTTTTACTTCCAAATAGCAAGGGGCCGATGTATTCAAATTTTGATTCTGGATGCAAATTTCTCTATGGGGATTCCAACTACGGAGAGTTGGATGGGAGGTATTATACAGGGAACAAAAATAACTGTTATCTCGTATTTACAAATTTACGAGCTTCATTCAGGTGATCGTAGGCATTTTCATATTTTGCCATTCTCTTTCAATTCGTTCACTAGTAGGGTTAAATCTGCGAACAAGATTTCGCATATCTTCACCGAACTATAAATCCCTAATGAAACTTTGTGGTCTTACATGGCATCTGTATGACGTGTATTCGGCTGATACTAGGCTATCGCATTTTTATACCCTCCGATGAATTCTGATATGCATTTACTTTTTTCCACTTTAGATTAAAGAACTGGAACTAGGTGACCAATTTCCAGAGATTCGAACTTTACGTGTACATAATGTGGAATTAGACGATGCCGGTGATCGTATTGAAAATCTCGATCTTCTGCTTGAGATTCATTACACCGGCAATTTTCGNCACATTATTTCTCCTCAATTCAGTGAAACAATTATCAGGCTTGGCGCGTCTCCAATTTACGCGCGAACCTTACACCCATTGGTCGCTTAGTTTTCTCGGTGATCCAGAATTGGATTTAGCTGTCGAGTCCAAGTATCAAGGCCGCCAAATGCAATCAAATATAACCAGCCTAATCTCTAATCAGATACGAAAGGCTGTACGCCGCAAACACACGCTCCCCAATTATAAACTACGCTACAAGCCATTCTTCCACAAAACTCCCGAAGAAGACCCCGGTGATGGTGACATACAGCCAAACGGCACGTTGGAGGTTAAGGTGTCGGAAATATCGCGACTTATGTGCTCAGAAGCGGGAACTGATATTTACTGTACTTTGACTTTGGCCTCGCTGGCATTTGTGGAGATACGCCAGAAAGATAATCGCAATGTGGTTGTTTCAATGGATGTGGAAATACATAAAGCTAAAAATCAACAGATTGGCATACTTTTTAGGCAAATACCTGAGATAGGCGTCGAAATTGAAGCAGTGCTACCCAATACGCCCGCTTGCAAGTCGAATTTGCGCCCATGCGACATGTTGATCGCCATCGAAGGCAAACGTGTACAGACTATCCAGCAAGTGGCGAAAATTTTCAAGGGTTTACAGGCCTCAGCCTTCAGGCTGCGCATCGAGCGCATCATACCGGGTATCATAAGAAACGATGCCATTTTGGAAGATCTTGAATTATACGAAGATTTGGGAGATGCGCATACGGGCTATGGTGGGGCTAGGGCATCAATTGAGATGGATTTTGGGGGGAAGCAGCCAATCTCGCGTCCAGGGACAGGTGAAAGGAGCACCTCCAGCGAGTCTAGCCTTGGCAGTACACCAACTAATTCACCTAAGAAAACAAAGCTTATTACAAAGGCATTAAGGAAAACTATAAGTCGCGAGAGTAGTGAACAAAGCAAAGAAAAAGAGGAAGACTATAAGGCTCGGTGCAAACTGTTGGCGAAACTGGAAGAGAAATCCCGGGGTTCAGCAAAAACGATGGGAGATGGCATGAGCGGGCTAGAGCACTACTATCAGCACTCGACGGTGGATTGCAGCATCAATCGCCTCATCCACATGGATGACGTGGGCTTTTTTAAATTGGATGAGAATTCACGTTTCCTAAATATTGGCGTTTATTTGAAATGTGCCGGTGATAGTTTGTTGCTAGGCTTTGTGAATATAGCAGTTGGCCAGATTTTAGCTGAATGCTGTGAGACAAGCTTGGTGCAGTGCTGGAAGAAATTCGAACTCAGTCCGCCCATGCCGCAGGATTTGTGAGCTATTTCTCGATGAACCTTTGTTATTGGAAATTATTTATAAATTTTTGTTTACCTACTTTACAGAAAAACTCACAAACTATCTAGTCAATCAGGCTTCAATGCAGACTTGTGTTTTGGCGATATGCTGCTCGCCTTTACATGGGATGGCAATCCAAATCTGCAACTCGGTGAAACAGCAACAAAACAGATAGCTAAGTCCAAAAGCAAGTGAGTAAACTATAATCTTCGCTTCAAATTAAACAAATTTGAAAACGTTTATTTCGTCTAGGAACAATATTGCTGCTGAGAAAATAGACAATGACAGTGGCATCTTTGACACCAATTCCATACGCTCCACTCCCAGTTCCAGTTCGCTAACGCCAGCTACACAAACAACTTCAAGTCAGCGCGCACATAATTTTGTCCGCACGCACTTTCAGCGCGCTACACAATGCGATTTCTGCGGCAAGAAAATATGGCTAAAAGATGCGGTACAGTGTAGCGAATGCACAATGTGTTGCCACAAAAAGTGTATAACGAAATGTCAGAATGCAACGGTTTGTGGACCGGTCGATTGTTCGACGGTGCTGCAGCAAAGACAACCCTCAATTTCTAGCGCTACTCCAGAGTTTACCGTTACCGATGCTGACGCGCTTGATGCTTCCGAAGGCGAAGAGGCCATGCCATCAGCGGACAGTGAGGAGGTTGCGGAAACTACGTATATTAAAGCGCCACCAACGCCGAGCCTCGAGGTCCATCGGTCAAGTCTGACGGGACTATTAGCACAAGGTATTAAGCGGGTGAATTCGGCTAATAATCTCGCCATACCTGGAATTGTATCCTCTTTGGCTGGCAGTGGCGGTAGCAGTGGGGGTGGTAGTGGAACGGGAGGAGGCATGGCAGCAGTTGCGAAGAGTTTACCACCCAGTCCGCAACGCTCCCCTTCGCGGTGAGTTGAAAATGCAAATCTTTACACTATTATTTAGAATTTTTTATATTGAATTTGTGGATCCGTATTCAAACACGATACTTATTTAAGCTGAATTCTGGAGCCTACCTGCAAAAATATTTTAATTTTATTAAGAAGAGATTTAGATTAAAATAAAATTATTTTTTATTCAGTAAATCATCGCTAGTCTCCAACCCATTTGCTACCTTCGAAGTGGTCACACAGCGCTTAGAGGCTATACCCATAGACGCCTCGCAACTCAGCTTTGAGCAAATAAACGCCATCAGTGGGCCGATAATGGGCATTTCCAAAGATGACGATGTTATGACTTTGGCTAAAAACGCAAGCAGAAATCTTTATAGTGAAGTAATTGGCGCAGAACGGGTGGAAAAAATTAATCTTTTGGTAAGTGTGAAAAACAAAAGAAATTATGGCAAACTACAATTAACCATTTGCTCTCTCCTCAGCTAAGCAAACTTCGCTTGGCCTTGGACAGTGAGACGGCCATGTATTCCAGCTTGGCATTAGCCAATACAACGAAAGCAGAGAATGCGGATGCGAGCAGCACAGCTTCAAAATCCACAACACTAGGCAAATCGGAAGAGCGTGTCCAAGCGCTTAGCGTAATAATGCTATATTTATGCACTGGGCTGCAGCATGCACAGGGCGTCGAGATGCGTTAAAATGCACTGCAATTTAAAACGAAAATGCTTTCGAGAAAAAAATTTCTGGTGAACAAGTAAATACTGAGATGGAAAATTAAAAACAAAAAAACAAAACGAACACTGAACTGAAGGCTGAAGTATTATAAAAGTGGAATTTTAAAGTAGCGCTTAAAAACCTCAACCGACTCTTTTAGAGAAAAAAATACAATCCATTGCAGTAGTGAAGTAAAGATTTTTTTTTTCAATAAACTTAAATATTTTATTGTATGTAGAAACTTACACCAGAAGGTGCTTTAAATCTAAAATTTTGGTAATTTTAAAGTTCAGAAGTTATAAGTTAAAGTGCACATGCATGAACATACATACATAAAGGCAAAGCGAACGCATCGACTGGAAAGTATAAGGATGCAATAAAGTAATATAAAAACATATGACGCTATGTATATTAACAGCGTGTTAGTCATGTGTTTTACGATATTGGCGACATTGGAGCTGTGTAGCGTAATGATAGTATTCGTGTGTAATCAAAGTTTATAAATAATATAAAAAAGGGAATAAAAATGCTTATTAAAAAAAATTTTAAGGTAAGCTTTTTTTTCCAGTCAACCTAAAAAATCAAAAAGCTTTTTCTTAGCTACTCCTTTTTAAAAAGTAAAAAGCACCCATTTTGCTTATGGATGCATACATGAATGATTATATATAGATACATAGTTATATAGGTACAAACGAATATTTATAGTTGCAGTGCTTAATGTTTATTTGAAGCAAATGTAATCATTTAAAGTATTTCCCAGTTATAAAATACTTTTGTGTGTATTTATAGGCTGAAAAATATTGCATCGAAATTTTATACGTGAAGGAATCATTAATGTAATATTTTGATTAACATTTCGTTTCATCAAGCACAAAAAATATTTACATAATTTGTATTGATTTGTAGTTTATTTAACTTTATTTTTGATATTTTTTTATTTTATTTATTTATTTATTTATTTTTGGCGTAAAAGTATTAGAATAAAAGTTGTTGCATATATTGTGAAAAATTTGCTATGCCAATACTTTGTTCTGGCAGTGTATGTAAATGAGTCTTTCGTTTTTCTTGAGAGCTGGAAAGAGACCTTTAAAGTGAATTTTTGTAGAAAAGTAAACTCTTTTAGTTGGCGAAGTAGATGGGGTAGTTTTTTTTCGTGGCTATTTTTCAACGGCTGATTCGGATCCACGGAGCTGACACATTTAGTTATTTTATAAGATTTGTCAATCTTCTTGGATGCCACATTGAATTTCAAATATTTCCACTACCTTGAGAATTACTCTTAAATAGGAGATGATTGTTGTTATTAGCCTGGTATGTAAATTTCAAAAATCATTTGGCCTATAACAAAGTTTTTAAAGCAGTGCGAAAATTCTGAGCCAGCTAATTTCCTGACTCTGGGCTGATATGCAAACGTTCACGGGTACTAAGAGAGGGGTCCCGTCTTTTACACAGGGGTTTTCTATAACAGTAAAAGCTATCGAATTCCCGTTTTACTGTTTGTATATATTCTAACATATATTTATATCAAAATTTAGCAATATGTAGACTTAAATTTTACGGAGCAGTCACACACTGTGGATCTTATATTTCATAGTCTATCTCGCAGTCCTATCTATCTAGGATAAACGCATGATCACTACCCGCAGACCACTAAGTCACAAATGCAAACTTGTATCAGATTCCATAGGGTATCCAGCAATCTTTAATATGTACACTATAAGTTCATCTGCTTAGGCTATACATATATATCTCGAAAGCTTCCTTCCCCATCAGCTTCTCTAGCTGGTTCTGTTGGATAGAAGAACTGCGCCACGGCCGGTAGAACGGTTTTTTGAAGCGATGCGATCCCTACAAAGGCCGACAATGAGAAAATGACACTCAACATTGTTTAAAAGAGATCTACTTAAAGTGTCTCCAATATGGTGATTTCTATGAAATCTTTGGCATATAAGCCCCCAAAGTTACTCTCCAAGTATTGCAAGTATGCGCACATAAGCTAGTAATTTTGTAAAATATACGCAAATAATTCCTTTAAGCATTTTCAATAGGGAAATGTGCAAACAATTTGCTATTTGTCCTACTCGCAAAAAACTGTTCTTGTAAGCAATTTACCTTTTATCTTTCTTGCAGGGAATCTAAAGTTTATTTGTGTAAGATTTGAGCGCTGACATTTAAAGTGAATATGCACCGACTTCCTTCCACTTTACATATTTACATCAGCACGACAAGTGATCATTTGATTTGTTAGTTGCCTGAAAGTAGGCAATGATTTTATTTTGTAGAGTTGAGCTAATTTATCAAATCTCCAAAAAAGCTTTCAGATTGCGAGCAAATTGTGGAATTTACACTTTTTGTTTGACTTACCATAAATTGTTGTAAGCGAAAGTTGTTTTGTACGTGGGAATATTTCTCCATATACCTACATAAGTATTTGCTGAAATTATCTAAACTCGTAGCAGGAAGAGAAAATCTTAAAATAAATGGAAAATAAGCAATAAGATTTTGATCAAAATTTCAAAATGTTTTGAATGTACATATGTATGTTTTTATACATAGTACAAACATACATATCGCACACGATCTTCAAAGGAGACACAAGTCAAAATCACATGCTAATCATATTATAACAAAAAATTGCTCCAGCTTTTGCCGAAAGGTAAATAAAAGCTCTGTGTACATTTTTGGTGCATAATTTCAAAAATGCCAAATTTTGAGTTGTGTAACTTTTGAAGATCGTTTGCGATATGTATATTAGACTGTGTCAAATAAAACAAATGTCGGTCACAAAGAAAATTGTGAAAAAATGTCAGCCTTCTTACTATTTTTCTTAAAAATAACAATTTTTAATAAAGAAAAACTTTTTCCTCAACTTTTTTTTTAATAAGCAGTTAAATATAACAAATAAAAACAAACAACCAGGGCTGCCGATTTAGCTCTTTTCCCGCCAACTCTGGCTTTTTCGAAGTCCATTTATTCATTTTATTGGTTATGTCTTATCGATCCAAATAAAATTTTATGCCACTCGGACCACGGTTACCTCTGGCGACTTGCAGTCAAAGTTATCAGAATAATCTTTGTGCTTGTGTTACTTCTATATAAGGCTCCCTACAGTATTGGGGCATAATATTAAGTAAATTCGCGTTTTTAGTTTTTTTTAACAGGTATTCAGGACTTTTTCCAAAAGACTATAAATTACAATATATTTCCAAAAGTTTACACAAAACATGAATAAATGGGTATCAATTAAAAGCAACATTCAAAACAAGATTAATTATAACTTTAGTTTTCAATTATCCTTTAGGAACATGTCAAAAAATTCCTTTACAAATATTATACTTCAAGGTTTATATTTTTTTTCAATTACTGAATTTTTTCGATGTCCTTGGGAGAAATCCTGCCATCCTATTAAAAATTTAAAAATGTAGATTTACTAGAAATGCATTCAAATATGCACAACGATAAATATTTTTTAGTCAAAATAGAAAAAAATAAAGATTGTCGAGAAATTTTTTTTTTCAATTTCAGATTATGTTGCGCTACAATATCTACAATTTCGATTTGATTTGCATAAAAATTTAATTAATTTGCCAATGCACTTTGTATGTACTGCTGAATGTACTAAAAGCTACAAACTACTAAATACTACAAAATGTTAAATGTACAATAAATCAGAGTTGTTGTGTATTATTATTATTCAATGTTTACGAATAAAAAATGTACGTCGCAAATATATTCCTAATAAAAAGGGTATTAATAACACATAATAAATGTATGTATGTATGAGTATTATGAGTAGAAAGAAAATCGAATTAGACGATGACTATGTACAATGTCACACCAATATTTTATTTTATTGTTAAATTTTAATGACTTATAAGCGTGTAAGAAATTTTTAATAAATTAAATAACATTAAAAAAATTTACAAATGTTTTTAACCCAGTCTATCAAGCTAGTAGCATTTACCATTTACCATTCATATTTGCGCATTTGTTNTACGCACATCAAAGCAGTATATGTATATAGATACATACTTACATATGTATATGTACAATAGAGCAGAGTAATTTGTTCGGAGCAAAATTTTCGAAATCGATTAATTCTAAGAAAAAAATTGCAAACAAATTTTATACATATGTACCAAAAATGGAAATATAGTATTTTGTAAATTTTTTCGAAATTTATTTTTTTTATACCAAAATTTTTTTTACGAACTTGTGAAGTAGTTTCTTAAATATGTATGAAGAAAACACAAAATTCTCTAAATGAAAAACTAATTTCGTTTAGAAAAAATTATAACACACTGATTTTGCTTTTAAAAATTGGGAGCGTCAAACGTCATTTTTGGTACATATAGTTTTTCGAAACTAAATTACTCCGCCCTAATGTACACATATTGATGTTTGTAGTGTCGTAAAAATGTTTACAATTAAAAATTATTTACTCAGAAATCAAAAAAAAAAAAACACAGCAAAGCAAGTGCGCATAAATACATTTGACCGAGTCACGGCGCGATGGAAATTTTAATATGTAATTTTTTGCTTCACTATATACTTCAAGTCGCATGTGGAAAATCTTGCGCACATGCCGCCACGGCGATGCCTATATGGCTCACTGGCATTTTGCCAATCTGTATTTCGTTTTCTTTGTAAGTTCTTAAATATTTCCGCAGACGTTCATATGTACAATAGATGTGAAGCTGACGCAGCGGCCAGGGAACAATGGACAAAAGTTCAATAAATCCTTGAGAAAATTATGACTCTAAAAAAGAGCAAGTGGACTATGGATATAAATATAGGTACATACGCATGTGTGAGGGCATTTGTTTAAAAATAACAAAAGCTTATTTTCACAGAAATTTAATTATATATACATCCTTTATTATATATAACTTAATTTAGTTTATAACTTTGCGCAGTTCTTAATTAACAACTTAATATATTTGCCACATTTTTTTAAGCAGTTACTACAATATGGTAAATATGGTCTATCTGTAGTTTTCCGAAAAGTGAGATTCCTATATAAAAATTCACCTTAGACTAAACTGTCATCGATGATGTTTATGCTGACGTTGTAGATCGTTTTTTAAAAGAATTAACTAATGAATTTCAAAGTTTGAACATCAAAAACTACCTTTTGCGAAAACTGCAGATAGGTCGTATTAAATATAAGCCCTCGCTATGTACATACATACATATGTATGTACGATGTGTGGTACACACATATGTGCATACACATTTATTTTCAGAATAGATTTTTTCCCAAAATGTATTCAATTTGCTTTGAAGTGTCAAGCCGCTTGCCAAGTGTCTTATCTAAATTTAGTTTGATTCATTGGCACTAACGCACTGTTAAGTAATTACATTCACTTACATGTACACAT